AGTGGGGGGGGGGGGTCCTGGCAACGGTTAACGGTAAATTCGGGCGGTCGGCAACACTTCATGGTAAATTGACAGGCTATACTGATAATGCTTAACGGTGAATTAAAGTAGCCCATAATGCTTAATTAACGGGAAAGGGCATGCAGGAACCCATATCAGGCTGAGCCAGTCAATAATTTGAATAACTTGGTAATTTTTTTTTCGCTATGGACAGGATAATCAGGCTACTAGCCTGTCAACAATAAGAATTTATTCCAGGCAACAAGAAACTGAGTAACGTCACCAACAACTAATAAGACATCAGAAAAAAGCATGTATTCATTAACAAAAAATCCTGACTCATTGTGTGGCTGTTCCCATTGCAAAGTTGTGCAGTCCTCTGTGCAAGACTGTTAAAGGTGACATTTTATTAGGTATGGAGACAGCAGAAACTATGGCCCCAGATATGCAAGTGAAAATTCAGTCTATTCATCTGCCACGACCCTTTGGAGATACATGTTCTCAGGGCACAACGCTCACACAAGGAGAAAATCAGGGCAATTTTGTTGAAGTTTAGTATTTGTGACACACGCAGTTTTCAGGTCTGTTGAAGTGGAAGTGGATCCTTTGTGCAGAGGTCGTGACCTGGCCTCTCGGGGACATGTGAGACCCACTTCTCAAGTCATGTGACACTTCAGGCCAGGATTTCGTAACCACATGATAAGGCCACACCAATTTAATTTGTTGGTTCTCGGATTCACCTCTTCGTTTTTTTCTGATTTGCAAAAAAAAAGATTCTGGTTCTGAATCAACTAAAAAATGCTCATATTTTATCCCCAACAGTTGAGAAAGTCCTTTACTTCCTAGTTGTTACAGTCTTTCCATCTATCAATGCAACTTGGTTTGATTAAAAATTCAAAAAAAATTCATTGTTTAAATTTTGACCCAGCCTTTTTTGTTGACTTCATGGCTCTTACCGTAGCATTTGGGACTATAATATGATGCCTGCACCTGTTTTTATTTTTTTTAGCCCTGTCACTTCATATTTTTTCTGAAAAAATCCGAGAACCAACAAATTAAATTGGTGTGGCCTAAAGTCCAGTTTTGTAGCCTTACAATAATTAAAACCCTAACATGATTGGCTGGGAAAAGGCTAAAAATTCTAATCCGAGTTTTCCCATTGTTGACTGACCCCATCACATGATTGTCATGATTTATGAGTGAAACTGCAGGTCGTTTCAAAGCCTTTGTTCAGTACAAAGAACTGGGTCCACACCACAGCATGTGGGCCTCTGTGGCGTGATGGGTCCACACCACAGCATGTGGGCCTCTGTGGTGTGATGGGTTTTGATGGGTTTATGTAGAAGCTGTTTATGAACTGGCAGATGTGGACCAGAATATCTAAACACACTTTTGATGCTATCAGTACATTGGGTCTGTAAAAGCATCTACTACATTCGTGCTAGGAAAGAGAGTACTAGGAAAGAGAGTACTTAAGCTTCTGTTTTGTATAACAGGAGCTTTCTGACTAATTTGCATTATCTTGTCTTGACTTGTATGACTTTTGTTCCTTTTTTGACTTCCAAAAATTTGTCTTCACTTTATTTGCATATCAATCAATAGTTAGTGCTTATAAACCTGTTTTCCCCTCTGGTCTCTCAGTCACTGACGAAAGCTAGTGGATACTAGCTGAAACGTCTGACGTTTTCAAAATCATATCCAGTTGCTTGAGTAACTGCTTTTTGGTGTATGTGATTCTCTGAGTTTCACATTAACATTCTACATGTATTTTTTGTGCTTCTTGGATGCAGTCCAGAACTGAGCGAAAGTGAAACTGAACGAAAGTGAAATTTGGAGGGGAGCCTAGTTTTGGGGAAACAAAAACATTTTGCAGGCATGAGGTCACAATGCGATGACTTTGCAGTAATGTTAGGAGTGAAACTGAAACTTCCTCTTTTAGCCAAGCCAGAAGTCAAATTCCGTTACCATTGGAGTAACAAAATCCATATATATTTATTAAACCTTCCTAGTTTTCCTGAAGTGAAGTTGTTTTCCTACAGAACAGTTCAGTTGTGGAACTCCTTACCCAGACGTGAGGAGAGGGTGTTACAACAGGCAGATGGCCTTCAAACATTTAGAGATTCTGAAGGTATTCTAGATCTTAAGGTATCATAGTATTACTTGTTTTCCCACAGAACTGTTCAGTTGTGTACAGACTGAGAAAACATGTCAGATAACCCAAAGGCGGAGTCCAGCCCCGTTGCCGACGACAACGGGCGTAAGTGGATCCCGCC